CCTTGCTAATCTCCTTACATCGAAATGTTGTATACGTCCATGGAAATTAAGCAAAATCAAGGTGATAAATAGCAGTTTAATAGCAATGGCAAAGGTTAATAAAGTTCAACCCTGTACAGAAACATACAATACAATATCTTGTTTGTACAAGTGAAATATGAAGCAAATAATATACGAAAAATTGTTCAAAAAATTACACTTTTATGAAAAATTTTATGAAAATCAATAAGTGAATCATTAACATACTTATAATGAAATAATATGTTAAATGTATATATACAAAAGAAAACTTACGTACAATTTGTATACGTTACGTTATAGAATGAATGACACACGCTTTCATAACGAATAGGTTTATTGAAATTATAAATCATTGCATTTAATTATTTTGAAATTCCGACGACGTTAATTTATTGTTAACGTCAAATTTATTAAAAGCCTGTTAAGTACATTAAGAAATTAATAATCGCGTCTAGAGAAATACGTGTGTACATATGTACATATGTATGTGAACATCTGAAGAATTTTTGAATTTATTCATTTTCCAAAGCGCATATTGCAATAATATTTTAAACAATTAAATTCTATAATTTCACAACACAATTAAAAAATTCTACAATTTCGTCCCTCTGAAAGGTCTATTGCATAAAAATATGCAGGCTAATGTTTTATGAATCAATTTGCTATTGACATTGACAATTTGTTACAATCTCTAACTCCATATTTCCATATTCCATTAACAAAAAAAAAACAATTTACTAATTTTTTATTTAAACTTGTTATTTTTGTTTATAAAGAAAATTAGTATAACAGCCTTAATAATGTTATTTAAAAAAGAATGACTGTGTAACGTGCTGTTAATAAAGGTTTAATTGGCTGTAATTTAAATAAAATATTTTTAAAATTACTCTCTTATGTGATTCTCTTTTCAGTTGTTCGCTTTAATTCAAACTCTGATTGAATTATATGAAACCAGTTATTTATTTCACTATTATTATTATTAGATTTATGTTGTATATTTAGAATGATAGGTTCCCATGGTTTACGATGAAAATAAAATATCTTATAAAGTCTAAATGACAACGTAATCGAACGGAAACAAAGAATTTTTCAATTAACTATAGAAGAAATACAAATAAAAAGAATAGAATTTTTTATAACGGTATTTAAACATTAAAATTCCAAAAAAAATCATTTTTTACAAAAATAAATTCAATGGAGTTTAATAATTTAAGACTCTTTTTTTCTCTTCTAATGTCTACTTAGTTTACTTCCTATATTTACAAGTTTAAAATTTTTATGCTAATGTGGGAAAAATGAAACTACAGCTATTCACAATTACTTTTATAATTATATTTAGGAGCTATTTTATTCTTTGGTTACATTTTAAACGTCAATTTATATTATAAAAGTAAATTTGTAGCATTAAGTGTTTATGACATGGAATTTTTCTTATTTTTTTTCGCATAAATTTTCTAATTTACAATAATTCCAACAATAGATGAGATTTTCCAAATTTATTTTTATTTACTTATTTTCAATAATTTTCGTTTAATATAAAAAGCTGAGAGGTGGGCCAGCATTATTAAACTTGATTGATTTATATATTATAAGACCGAACTTCCTCCTGGAAATTTATTTATACACTCGCTATATTTCGTTAAAATATTTAACAAAGGAGGGCATACTCGTACTCACAAATTCATTGCTTAATTCAAAGTTTAACGAATTTCATCAATTCTCATACCTCATGGAAAGTGTATAATATTTTAGTTTTTTTTCCTCCAATTTCCAATGCTTATGTCTGGACACAAAATTATATAAAACGAGAAAAAAAGTAGAGTTGACCTTGTCAACTCTGTGATACCCGTACGAATTTGTTATCCTATGTGCGAATAACTAATGTGCCATAACTAACTATAGGGCAGACTATGACTTTAAGTTGCCGTATTACCATATTAATTTATGCAAAATTTCAGTACTATGTGTTTTTCAAAATACTGGTTGTGCCAAACTACTATTGAAGTTGTATGGCAGCTACCAGAAAGAGCCAAGAAATTTTAGCGAATTTTATCAAGCACATCGGCCCTACTAATATATTCACTTGTGTGAAATCTCAATATCACAGCTTTTATAATTTCTGAGATATAGCCAAAAAACTTTTGAAGTTTTATGGCAGGTACCAGAAGGAGCCAAGTAATTTCAACGACTTTTATGAGACACATTGGCCCTACTAATATATTCACTTGTGTGAAATCTCAATATCACAGCTTTTATAATTTCTGAGATATAGCCAAAAAACTTTTGAAGTTGTATGGCAGGTACCAGAAGGAGCCAAGTAATTTCAACGACTTTTATGAGACACATTGGCCCTACTAATATATTCGTTTGTGTGAAATTTCAATACCATAACTTTTATAGTTTCTGAGATATAGCCAAATTAATTTTGAAGTTGTATGGCAGCTAACCGAACCGGTACCCCGATCATGTCCAAGTTAAATAGGGTTCTGGCACTTACTACAATAAATCATTTGTGAAAATTTGGTGAACTTAGCTCAATTAGTTTTTGAGTTATCGTTCGGACGGACGGACGAACAGACAAAGCTAAATCAACTCAGAATTTGACGCTGATCAAAAACATGCACTTGAGTCTATATCTAACACCGTTATTTCTTAGCGTTACAAACGGTAAGGCAAATTTTGTATACCCTTCGAACATACGTTCGTACGGGTATAAAAATTAATAAAATAGCACTTTTATATTTTATGGACTAAGTATAAACGTCTCCATAATCGTAGAGTGTGAATAAAATTTTAATTTATGAGTTCTCTTTTTTTATTTTTTTTTTAATATTCATGAATTCTGTGGTTTTTTTTCTTAATGCAACCAGAAAAATACAAAAATGGAACAAAAATGCATTTAATACAATTTTTTGTTTCACCTTTTATTCAACAAATAAATGAGTACTAAATGTGGTAACCTAACTAAGTTTTTTTTTTTGTATAAAAGATTCTGTATACGTATAAGACTAGGCATTTTCCTTTTTAAGTTTTTATAATATATTCAATGATTTCGTGCGTGCAATTTTAAATTAAATTTTCAAACTGGAATTTTTTAATTTTCCTTTTAATTTATTTTTAATTGTTTTTCATATTAACATTATTCGAAGTACGCGAATTTAATTTTGAAATTATATTTAGTAATTATAATTTACAAAAATTAATGCAACATTTTTGGTAAGCAACTATTGTATATAGCATTTTTCAAAAACTACAAGTGAACTACTCGTTTGGAAAAGCTGAGAAATTGGGATTATTAATTTATGAATTTTGAATTTTTTACTTTGAAAGTAAAAATTTTTATTGTAAAACAAATTGTAAGGTGAAAATAAATAATTTATATAGGGTATCGCAAAAATTAATATGCAGCTTCTATAAATGTCTTTGTTTTTTTTTTTTATAAAATAACCTAATACCTTGACAATTTTCACATATATAGTTAAGTGTTATGATTGACGTTAATTAATACTTCAAAGTTTTAAACATCATTGTGTTAATTGTCAGGTGTCAAAAATTTGTTAATAATTGTGATTTAACTTGAGTAGCTATAATTGAATAAATATTTATATTAGTTTTTCCATAATATTAATTGATTTTAAAATTTTCTATTATAAAGTGTTTTTAAATTGTTAAAAGTTTTATTTAAAAGAAAGATTTTATATTTTTAAATTTGTAATTGCTACCCCTAATTATTCAGGCGTAAAGTAAAATTTATTATTAATTTGTAACTTTTTATAAAGTTTTCATAATTCATCTTGTTATCAGGAATTATTTGGGTAACTAAAACCATAAAATCTGGGATAAAAATTGCAAAGTGTTAAGAGAAGTTTTAACTAATCAAAAATTTCGAAAGCAGTGTAGTGAAAGAAGATCCAGAATGCCCGAACATATATGTACATATGTAAGTTTTTGAAATTTACGTAGAAAAGAGTTAAAATGTCACTCCTATCAATTTTACCAAGGTCGGAATTTTGTGTATCCATAAATTTTTGAACATAAAATCCAATTGGAAATCGTATTATATTTTTTGCCATTTTAATGAGAGTAACTTACCCCTAAAAATTACATTTGTTTCCTTTTACATTAGTTATTGTTATAGTACACGTCCTTAAGGTTATATTAATCACATTGTACAACCTTATGTGTATATATAGGTATAAAATTTTGTGTAAAAACAGGTAATCCAATTTATATTAGATGTACATAGGTATATGTTTTCTTTTTATTCTAATTTTCATTCATTGTCATAATAGCTTGTTTTTGTTTTGTTTCCTTCATAAATGAAAATGCAAATTTATTTAAAATGCAATTAAGTTTTCTAATAACATAAAAAAATATTCACGCATTAAATGATTTATAAAGAAATTTTACGAAATATGAGGTTATCGAAGCACCAATAAATACTATTAAAATTATACAATGCATTTGGTTCTACAATTATTTTGTTTTTCATTTAAAATATAAATGCAAATAATGCGGTTAACCTTTGTTTTTCTTTAATAATCTATATATATTTTCCTTTATATGGATATACACCCAACCTAATATTTATAAATGTGTTTATAAGCTCAAATTAGCACCAATATTTATGACGTTTTGCTTTTATAAAATCTTAATTTTAAATCTATTGCAATTTTAGCAATTTTATTTTAGTAGAAAATCTGAGTTAAATTATTTTATAAGCCTCTTAACATTATATTATACATAATTATATCCAATACAGATGAAATCATATAGATAGATGATGAAAAAAAAAAATAAATTTTTATGAAATAAAATTGAATTTTCAATTAAAACGTTGAGTTATGTTAAACGTTATTATGAAAAATTTTGCACTTTTGTTTAATATGATTTTCGAAATATTGAACATTTATAATGAATAATGTGAAAAAATATTTACATATAACAAAACAGTATTTAAAAACTACGAAGCTAATTACCTAGCAATTTAGATCATTCAGTCATCACATAAGTATTAGCTTCAGTAAAGTGTTCAGAAAAATTATCTACATAAGTAATGTGACGCAATTTTAGTTAAAAATTTCAATTGAAGACACTTACCTGCAAAGAAAAAAAGAAAGTGAAATTTTAAAAATAAAGTTTTTGTCTATATTAATCTTGAAAAGGGAAAATTTTAATTTACAATGTAAAATAAACTATTTAAAATAAACAATTTCAAAGAGAAAAAAATCTGATGTGGTCGGCATATAACCGGGTGCAATTTCAAGAAATTTCATCAATTAGCCCCGTAGATATTAGAAAAATTTAAAATCCTCTCCCAAACTTACATATAAAATTTCATGAAAATTTTATATGTTAAGCCGAACTTGATATACTTATACACATGTGTGCACACAGAGAAACAGACCGACATTTCTTTAAAAATAGTTTACTTAAGCTTCAAAACCCCACATCCGAAATTTGGCGCCTTCATAATCTCCTTTATTGCATGCAATGTGGTCACCGTCGGTACAAAAAATTTAATTTTGGTCTTTGCAAAATTCAACACAATCCTTGTAATCAAGGACCTGTAATTTTGGAGACAAATGTTCGAAATAGTTAAAGAGATTTTGAAGGTATCTTCAGTAATGTTTCACATCACCATATATGGAAAATCTTTTTTTTCAAGCTCTTACCGGTTCATTACTTATATTTTATTCTTATGCTTGATTTAAAAAAAAATATTTTTTTAAATTATCACAATTAAATCTAAACTTTTAATAATAATTATCGATTAAAATTTATATAACGTACTCATATTAAAATTATTATCTTACATAATCTTAATTATCCAGGAAATCAAAATTTTTAATAGACAAAATATAATAAAAAGTTAACATTTTTATCACATCAAATTATAATTTATTTAAAAAATAAAAATATAGCAATAACAAGACCAACTTTTAAAAATCTAAAATATAACCATTCACAATAGATTGAATTGGTGAGTTGAAATAAGAAAGAGAAAGAAAAAATACTGTATAACATGTGATGAAAAAAACTAAACAAAAAACAAAATTAAAATTTTCATTGAAAAGGTCACGATAATTCTGTTACCTCTTCGATATAATGTATACGTTAATAAGAGAAAAAAACGGCTTAAAACTGTATAATAAACGATTAATCGGTAATGATCGGTAATAATTTATTTAAACTCTACAAAATGTATACAAACAAATATTTGAAATATTGTACGTTAAGGTTTTCCGCTCAATAAAAAAAAAAATTTAAATGTTTGTACCTACTAAAAATGTATAAAACTACGGTAATCAAACAAAAAGCAAGAGTATAAAATAAATAGTTTAAACAAGAAATACAACATTAATAAAAAATCAAACTTAGAATTTCTGATAAAGAAAAATCGCTTTTTTTTTTTATTTAAAGTAAACATTGTATAACAACAAAAAAAAAAAACTATAGTAAATTTGAACAGATTCTTAAAATGTTTTCAAGGTTTCCAAACAGTTAATTCACATTCAAATAGCATTTGTTACAATATCGTTATTTAATTTTCACTTTTTACATCAAACAAAAATTGTGAATTTGTACACATTAAAAATATACTATGAATAATGTAAGCGTACATGACAATGTCATTGTTTATTTAGTAAAGGTATAAAATGAAGTACAATTGATTTACATAATGTACTCAAGTATATCTTTGTGTACAACTTAGTAAGCTTTAATAGCTCAAAAGAAAATATGTGTAAAAAATGTGTAAAATATGGTAAATAAGGAAAAAGGTTAATGTTCTCTGCTCTTAAAAGGTTAGAAAATTATTTTTTACTAAAATGTTTTCCGTGCTCTAGTACAAAGCAATTAATTTAAAACTACAGGTATATAAAAAACACCCATTTTTAGCAAATGCCTTTATATACTGCTTAGAAATACATATAGTTGCGATAAAAGGAAGTTTTGTAAAAAATGAGCAATTTTTCTTTCAAATCGCTCTTTCACAAAATTTTTTATGCCAACTCATGTCAAATACGATTGAAGACGCCATTAAAGTCTTCCAACGAGTTCCCTCTCGTTACTGTCTCGCATTTTATTTGCAAATATTTGATTAAACCTATTTTTTTTGTTCGAATACTTGTTAAATATAAATATCATAGGACAGAATTACCATTTTTAAACGGTCCAATTTTGACGATCATTCGAATATCTAACAGGCAACCGATATTTAAAGCCGAATATATTTTTAAGTTTTTAGTATAAATATGTCAAAGATTTTATTGTATGTACTCATAGTATTTCCCCCCAAGAAAAGCTTTTGTGATTTAACCCACCTCTCGTCCCATATATCTCTATATATTTTTCAATTGGAATTCTATTAGATTGTCAAACCGTCTTCCGGCATTGAGTGTTTCTTAATAATCTATCATCAGTACATCACCTCCGATCTTATTTTTTTCTCTCAAAAAAAAAGTTATGTAAATTCAATTTTTACAACAAAAATTATCATTTAAAGGTCATTGATAATACTCGTAATTTTATTTTATTATCACCGCATTGATAATAAACAAAAAATTTCTTTTATTCTTCTTTTTCATTATCACAAATGTTTTTAATATTATTAAATCATAATTTTCTGATATGGAAAATGTAAGTTTTTTCATTCTTACAAAAAAAGGCGGCTGAGCAGCTTTACATACAAAGTCATCAAACTCATACAAGATTGTTTAAATTACGATTTAAAAGATAATATAAGACAAAACTGACAGTCTTATCGTACATAAATGAATGTCATTGCCGTATACGAAATAAGTATAAAAAGTAGCTATAAATGGTTTTTATTTCTATATTTACCCGTTCAATGCGCCGGGCCGGGTACAATTTATAATGTCTATTTTTGTATATTATAGACAAAAACAATAAATTTTATCTTTTTAAAAACCGAAAATAAAAAAAAAAATTTAAATTTCCTGTATAAGAGGGGCCGAATTAAATTTTTAAATATAAAATTTTATATTAATTTTTAAAATCTAAGTAGAAAGAGGAGTAAATTATATTATTCTACACACACGTACAATGGATTTTATACATTATAATTAATTAATATAAGATTTTTGCTTTCATATGAAATTTTTATTACAGTTCAAATCAGAGTGCGCCTTTAGTAAGACGATAAATTTTTGGGTTACGATTAAAAATTTAAAATAAATTTAGTAGCTTAAATATTCGAAGTCGTTGTGCTATGTATACGAAATCGAATGGAAATTTTTGAATCAACGAAATTTTTATTAAAACTTATTTCTCAATAGTTCTATTAATTTTATAGAAACCAATATTTTTTTAAATTAGAAACTGCTATATGTAGGTAAGCATTAAATATGTGATTTGATTACTTTTTATTACATATGTAATTGTAATCAAAAACGGTTATTTAACCTTTTTACTGTACATTAAGATACACCAGTTAATTAATTAGTATACTTACATACTTATGTATATGTTGGTATTGAGTTCTTAAATGTAAACGCATAGAATGTCGCTATATATATCCTCCTTAAACTCTAAAATTGTAGTTAACCCACAGAAATAATTGATCTTATCAAATTTCCTTGCCATCAATATTCGATATAACTTTCTTAATTTATTTAATTTCATTTTCTATTTATTATGAACTATAACACAAAATTTTATAATGCATTTACATTAGCCAAGTATTCTAACATGACAATATAATTTAGTATGCAACACAAATTCATTCGAACATCATGAGATATTGTTACAAAATTATTGTGTTTTGAAAATGAAAATGGACATGTTTATCATATTTTACACATAAACTACATCGCTGGTACTGTGGAGACAATAATTATTTTTAAAATTTAAGTATCTGCTCCATGTTATCATATACATAAAGTATGAAAGGAAGAAACTGATAAATATATGAACCAATATTTCTCAACATAATGTACATACATATACACGTATGTACATACATTACAGACACATGGTAATAAAACTATATTTAAAGTAAAATTAATTCAAATAGTTTTTGTTTCAAAATGAAAATAGAACGAATGACCGCCGATATCGGCGATTTCACATTTTTTTTTGTGGTCTTTATTATAAATACTCATTATAAATGGGTTATAATAAATATATGTGGGCGGATTATTTCAATAACCCAAAAAAAAAAAGGAAAATGTATATATTATAAAAATTATATACATACATATGTATGTATATATGTACACGTACATTTTTTTTAATTTTCAAGAAATGCATAATTTTATTGTAAAGATAAAAAACAGAGGCCGGCGTCGACTGCTCTAAATCACTTTAAAATATCTTTTCCTTTTCTTGTTTTTGTTTTTAACTGAATGCTAATGAACTTTTTAATTCTATTATTTTGTTTTTTTTGTGTTGTTTATTATTTTTTTGACTTCTGGTTACATTGACTGGCTAAGTCAAATTCGTATCGTTTTATTTTTGCTTCCTTTCTATGTACTATATGAAAATTCATTCATGTTCAAAATAGGGTTATAAGATTACGTATATGTACAACATTAAACTGGCATACGAACAATATAAGAAAAATTATATGATTTTAAAAATCGTAAGTGTTTTTAGAATTTAGAATGTATGTACATACATATTTACTAATGGACGAATAGATATACATACATAGATATATATAATGTATATGAAAATTTGTGAGGCAAAAAAAAGAATTTAATTTCTCATCAAATTTCTAGACTTAATTTTTAAATGATAACGACTAAAAATAATAAAAATAATTAAAAAACCCCCATTACTAATGAGAGCTTTATGGACATTAACTTGAAAAATAAAAGGGTGTCTACTTGGGAACCGAGAGAGATTACGTATAGTAAATATTAATGAGATAATTTTTTACACCATTGGTGTTGTTTAATTAACTCTATATGTTTTTTTTTGCTATAGAGATTTGCTATAGCAAAAAAAGTGTCTAATTAATATTAATGATCTGGAACGGTAACAAGTATAATTTTACTATATACATATATTTTTTTTAATATAATTTCTAATATTATCATGTCTGACTTTAAATGATAAGAATATTTTTCCTAAAT